AATATTTAATACCATTGAAAATATTTCGACTATTTAATTTCAGGTGGATTGATTAAATTAACATCAATCCAAAGTGGATACTTTTCCAAATTGAATGCGTTGAATGGAACGTTTACATCATTGTTACCATCTGGATAAACGGTTCCGGTAAACCAAATTCGATCTGTACGGCTTTATAATCTCGTAAAATTATCGTAGTTATGTACTTTGAGATACAATTCGATTGGGCTATAATCTAATTTAATGCCCCTTTTGTTTAAATTACATTTGTTTTGCTCTTTGAAGTAGTCGAGCTCTTCGGTATCATATACATCAAAAATGAGTTCGTTTGGTTCGCCAAACCAGCACATTAGTCGATTTGATAACACTTCTGGTAAAAATGTGAGCAATTTTTCAAAAATATTTGACACACGTTGAATTTCAACATTGTGAACATTCCCTGCCCATTTAACAATAGAACCATGAAATCGATCACACTTTAACTGAGCATTTATACGATTTCCCGGATATAACAACGGTATAAATCATCCAAAAACGTCAAATTTCTATGTACATAGATGTGCGTGCACACAAAAAAAAATATAGTTACGTGCGACGCACAGAGACTTGTGCTGCACTTGTTGGTGTTTCATTTAGTGTCAAACACAGAAATATTCATAAAACAAACATAGAGCATATTGTCAATATGGAAAATAATTGAATAATATCCTTATCTACTACAGTACTATTCTGTCTGTTATTCTTGTTTTGAAAAAAATATATGCTTAATAAATAATCGATTATTTTGTGATAAAGACTCTCTTTTATTCTCAAATTAAGATTCAATTATGTACAATTTCAATGTTTCTTTTTTCAGTTCATTACGATTAATTAGGTACGTAGGAAAGTATATGAAGTTGTGCATTTTAAAACACTGTACTGAAATCACGTTTTGTCATTTTCACAAAATTGTTGCTCTATCCGATGAAGTTGACTACAACCAAATGCAGAATAACATGCGCCAAAATGAAGTCAGCAAACCCACGTTCTGCCGAAATGCCAGAGAATTGATGCTTATTTTCGGGGTTCACTTGCAGACGAAGACAAAGTAGTTGAACGGGAATGTTTCTATTTGATTTATTTATTTATTTCATACCTTTGAGATGCAAAGAACAGATCTAATACATTTTTTCATGGGGTTGAGTGCGGAAAAAACGGGCAAAAAAATGTTGGTATGTCATCCTTTGTGGTGCCGAAACGAATGTCGAATTTTCTTGGACTTGAACGTAATTTTTTGGTTCACCATTTTTCAAAACAAAGACTTTGTTAGTATTTTCTTTTTGGAAAACACCAAAATCTGATGCATTAAAAATGGTTACTTCGTCACCATCAGCATCTTGAATTCATGAAAAAAAATTAAAAATTATTTTGGACTTAATTTATCTACGAAAAAACTACAAAAATTGATGAAAACACTTTATTTCGTAATATTTAACGAACATTGTGGAATTCAAACACTAATGATTCAGACAACGAAAAGTTCATTGTCCATACTGAATCGTTTTTAAATGACGCAAAATATACATTCAACATGGCCGCTCACCTTGGTAATAAATTTGCATTGGTTGATTTTTGAGCTCAGGCATGCGACTAAAAATCTCATCCTTGAAACTATCGAAACTTTCTTCTGAGTTCAGTTCAACAAAAAACACTTTACTAGCTCTGTCGCTCAAATTATCGAGCACATAAATCTTGTAGATGCGCGACATTTTCAGGAATGTTTTTTTCTTGTTTTGTTTTGTTGCTTATTTTTGGGATTCACTTGCAGACGAAGACAAACTGTAATTGTGAGACAAAAGGTAGCAAAAAAATCAGTACGGTGGAATAATACTGCAATATTTTCGGTTCGAATGATTGAACGTACCACCAAGAACAAAGCAGCTGACTGTTGAAATGAATCCAGACAAAAATGAGTTGAACGGGAATGTTCCGATTAAACAGCAATACAAGAACTGGGTGATACGGTGTAAAACATGTAGACTTCAATCAACTTCAATTTTTTTTTGTATTGTTTACGTATTCATC